AGGTTGTACACTATTCTCAACACACCTAAAGTCCTGTCCAGGCTATAAATTCATGTGACATACCTAAATATGGTCATGATGACATCACATCATGACCATATATAGGCATATCATGATAATATATGGGCATACAACAGTTTTTTGTGAAAGGAAATTTCATAATCTTACAGAGTTTGGACCAACATTGTTCAGTTTGACCTAGCATTGTGTCTGTGTGAAAGATTCCTAACAATAAACCTAGGTTAAATCTAACCCATGAAAGAAGATGGGTCAAAATGACCTTGGATGTTACTAGGTCAGACTAAGCATTTCATCAGTGTTGATGACTCCAAGCAAAGTTAGTTAAATGCAGTAATGCATAAATTAATCTGACTAGCATATCAGTGTGTTTAATACATTATAATAATAAGCGACTTTGTGAAATATATTTGTCTAAATCCATTTATATACAGAATTTAACCATACCTTTTTTTGTTAGTATTATTAATAAATTATTGTTATCATTTTTAATTGATGAAAACATCCATAATGTGATGTTTCACAAAATTATTATTATAAATATGTATTGTTCCATAAAATTATAAAAATCATTTTTGAAAATAATTTGTTCATTTTGAAGTAACATAACAATTATGAACTTAAACACAGATATTGGTGTACTTAAAAAATGATTACCCATAATTTTACAGTTAAAATGATAAAAACACTTTTTTTATTATTTAATATCATTTTCCAGTATAAAAATCAGAGTACACATTTTTTTAATTAAATAATTTCTATGCTCAAGTTAATAATTTGTATGTCAGCTTAATATGAACAAGTTAATTTCAATTTTTTTGGACACTTTAAAAATTGGTAAGCAATAGTCATGAAAATTAATTCATCTTGCAGGCAGTTGAAATTATGGTTGGTGACCCTACGCTGAGGCTTCATGAAGGTTAGTGTTGTGGATGACAAGGGATCTACAGTAGTTTTAGGCTCAAAAATCAACCTAATTTCCTATTTTAAGGCCAAGGATTATCTGGAGTATTACATGAAGATCAATTTTAATCTTTATTTAAGATGGCTGTCTTAAGAAGCCACATGTTTGTAATTAACTGTAGTATGAACCATATGGTGGTAATTACTAAATTATATTCTGTTGAAGGTAACTAAACCACATATTAAAATACCTGAATAGGTAGGAGCAGTTTGGCGCAGCTGTTGCTGATCGCTTCTCAACCTCGCTGTGCATTTTGCTTGTGTCCTTAGGCAAATCACTTTACGTACGGTTGTCTCTCTCTACACAGGAGTTCAAGTGGGTACTTACTAGGTTCAAAAACAAAAATGCGCTGATTACAGCAGCAACATTATGGAATTCTCCCCTGAGACCTGAGTATGTGTTCCATATGTGCTTGATCCAATGACCGTGGGTAATAATGTTAAGCGCATAGAGGTCTCTACAATATGTGCTTTATACGTTGATCATTATCATTATTATTATTAATATTAAATGTGGTACTATTTACCTTATAAAATAGTATGAGAGCAGTATAGCTCAGTACTGTAGGTTAAACTGGTGGTAGCTACTGTGTACTATACCAAGGATATCCTTTGGTACCCAGTTCTATTCCATTCGCTGTTTTTCTTGTGTTTCAGCTTCAATGGGGCTAAAATGCACATACATAAAAAAAAAAAGCAGACCGTCTTTCAGAAGAGATGTTTAGACCGTTGGTTCCGTGTGTAATATGGCTCATGTGCACGTTAAAGAATGCAGTACACTCTTCGGAAAAGGGTAGGGGATTGTTTGTTGGTGTCCTGTAGTCACCACCAGAAAAGCCCCACTGGGGATACTTCTTTGGACTTTTCCTGTGTTATCCTTGGTGTTTACACCAAAATTCTTCGATTTGATAATTGTTATTTTTACCATTTTAACCTCTAGGTTTCCTTATGACAGCATCACCCCCTAGAGCACCTAAGCCCATAGCTGAGGACATCATTAGTGAGGTTGAAGTTCCTGATCCTGAGCCGGAACTCAGTTCAGAGCAGAGGGCTACACGATTCGTGAACAAGCTACCAAAGGTAGATATTGTTACATCATGAAATATGTTTGTTGTTATAATGTCATTATCATTGTCATCTTCAATATCTTTTATCTTAATCATCATCTTTGTAATTTACATTATTATCATCATAACCTCCGTCATATCCATCATCGTCATCATTAGTCATCAAGCTTATCGTCATTGTTGTACCCCCAACACTGTTGTTTTCATCATCTCATCTTTTTCTGGCCATTTGTTCCAAGTAAAACAATATGATGTCCCTCTCATCTTCTCTGTAGTGTAAACTTATCACTAGATTTCTAACCATTTTAGTTGATTATTTTTTATTAACTGATTGCTAATTAATTTTCAGGAAGCACGATTTCAGATGGAAAATGTCAATATTCACATTGCATTCCAAAGCCATCATAGGTAAGTGCCAGTGATTGACCTTTAACCCTACATTTTGACCAATCAAAATTGGTTATGTTATATGGTAGGTATGTCCAGGGAATATGTGGAAGTCCAGAAGAACTAGTATCATTTAAATAAAACTGCTATTAAATGTAAATGCTATGGTTTTTCTGATATTCTGTTCCATTCGTTTACAGATCCTTGCATCTTAGTAGTGAGTGCATAGCAGGTACTTAGCAATATTGATACAGAAGAACTTGTGCCATTTAAATAAAACTGCTATTAAATGTAAATTCTGTGGTTGTTCTGATATTCAGTTCCATTCGTTTACAGATCCTTGCATCTTAGTAGTGAGTGCGTAGCAGGTACTAGCAATATTGATACAGAAGAACTTGTGCCATTTAAATAAAACTGCTATTAAATGTAAATGCTGTGGTTGTTCTGATATTCAGTTCTATTCATTCTACAGATCCTTGCATAGCAGGTGTTAGCAATATTGATACAGAAGAACTTATGTCATTTAAATTAAACTGCTGTTAAATGTAAATGCTATGGTTGTTCTAATATTCAGTTCTATTCGTTCTACAGATCCTTGCATCTTAGTAGTGAGTGCATAGCAGGTACTTAGCAATATTGATACAGAAGAACTTATACAATTTAAATAAAACTGCTATTAAATGTAAATGCTGTGGTTGTTCTGATATTCAGTTCTATTCGTTCTATAGATCCTTGCATAGCAGGTGCTAGCAATATTGATACAGAAGAACTTATGTCATTTAAGTTAAACTGCTATTAAATGTAAATGCTATGGTTGTTCTAATATTCAGTTCTATTCGTTCTACAGATCCTTGCATCTTAGTAGTGAGTGCATAGCAGGTACTAGCAGTATTGATACGGAAGAACTTGTGTCATGTGACAAAGATGGTGAACTATTTCTTCCAAAGGCTTCCTTCAACTTTAATTTTACAGGTAAGAAAAAGAAAGTAAATTGAAAAAAATCAAATGTCAATAATACTAATAACAATTCAAGAGTAATAACTGTTTATTTATGTTTGTACACTTATATAAGCATTCATTATCTTTTTGAAAAGAATTGCTCATAGTCATTGGATACAAGATCAATCATACACATGTGTAAACTCCTGACCAATCAGAACAGCTTAGGAAATACATTTGTGTCTCATAAGCACATGTGTTGTCCCACAAATGCATGTGCTTGCATATGTTTTTACACTGTCATTTTGTGGTCCTTAGCAACAATATCCAAGGGGCGGGGCTTTAGTGGAAATGTCCATTCATGGTTGTCCTGCTATCTCAACACTAGACCAAAATTCCTTTAAAATCATTTACCTCTACCAGGTATCCATTTATTATATTCCTTGATGGCGAGAGCCAAATATGAATAAGGCTTTTTGTTCTTAAGTGCACAAATAACTTGACCAGATTATTTTTGTAATCACTACCATTTCGATGTTCAAATAATTTCCAAATCAACAATCTTCTTCGACATTAATAATTGGATGCATTTTTTTTTCAATCAATATAAATACCCAGTGTGTATGGTGATAATGATATTTAAAAAAAAAAAAAATGTGTTCTGCGACTATGGCACATGTGGTGCAACATGTAATGTGTTGGACTTCTCAACTTGAGATTGGGAGTTCAAGACCGATGCTCGTCACATTGCTTGTGTCCTTGGTCAAGGCACTTTACTTACGTTTGCCTCTCTCCACCCAGGAGTATAAATGGGTACCTGGTAGAATAGTATAGCATTGAATGTATGGGTCGTGTGCGTTCAAGCAGCAATGACCAGGGATGCTCCCTAGGGAGCAGATAAAGTTGCACAAAAATGTTCTGGTTTGTCAACTCAGTATCCAGTGACCAGGAAAAAAGTTATGCCAGCGCCTTGTATATTCTCCGGATTGTGATAAATATGCGCTATATGAATCATGACTTTAAAAAAACAAAAAAAGAAATTATCTCTTTTTGAATGTTTAATACATTAAAACTAATACTGCTTTATTTCAGACATTACAATCAAAAACCGGCAAGGAACTAGCTTGTTCGCCTTGTCAAGTTTTGAAACAACCATTGGTGTAAGTTCGTACAAATGGACATTTCATTCCAAATAATAGACATTTCTTTTCCTTTTTAAAGTTGCTTCCCAACTCAAAGACAAACACATGATATACACATGATGTTCTACATAACCCAAGTCCCATTATGAGGCTTAGAGAGTGTAATTGTTTTGGTTGTGAGGGCAAAACATCCTTCCTATTAAATCTCCAGACAAAAACACTTTCTGGTGTGGAGCTGAATAGCTTCATGGTTAAGGTGCTAGCCTTCCAATCCCATGGTCCTGAGTTCAATTCCTGTCACGATAACATGATTTTATTTTCACAACCAAAAACAACTCCACTCCCTAAGCCTCATAATGAGGCTTAGTTTATGTAGAGCATCTTGTGTTTATGTTTGCCTTGTGAAGGGATATGCCACTTTGAATAGTGATTAAGTTCGCAGCTTGGCATATCCTTCGGCATAGCCAATTAATACCAAGATCTTGTAATTTTGAAAGCTCCGATGAGGGCAGTATAATAGAGGCAGTAGATTATACTGGCCCTAACGGCTACCCATACAAAAAAGATCTATTAATCTGTAAGCCGAGTGGTTATAGAGCTCATCGTAGCTAAAAAAACACCGTCAGATGACAGATATCTCTAAATATAAATCTGTATACAATGGCTGAAAGGTACACATTAATGTAATAAATAATTATAATATGATATTTAAATTTTTGGTAGGCATGCGATGATGGTATTTATTCTGGGGTAGCTGTAGACAGTTGTCATTTCACGTACTATGAGGAGGAGGCCACGTTCTGGTTCGGTATGTTGCGTGATTATAAAACTTGGTATGAACTCCTTGAGAAGGATCTTGCTGTACAGAAGATGCCTAAAGCCAGCAAGTGAGTAATATGTCTGAAAATAACCTATGCTAAGCTATTGATTAACATTTCATTACAATCAATCATCAGTCAATCATTTATATAGTGCCAATATCTATTATGCAGTATTAAATTTCAGTGGTGCTCAGAATATGCGATTGAGAAAAGGTGTGTTTTCAATTGTTTCTTGAAAACATTACATGGTATTAAATTGGCTAGTGATATGAAAACTATGCTGCTCAGACCACAACTAGAAAGTATGAGTCCACATTAACTCTTCTCGTCTTTGGTTTCAGTTTAACTTATGCTTCACATGTAAACTTAGAACAACAACTCTCAATACCAATAAAATAGCATTAGAGTATTCACAAAAAAGAAGATACAGGAAGTTGTAGGATCATATAGCTCAGAGAGAGAATATGTAGTAAACTGGTTTTTTTTTTTTTTTTTTTTTTCAGGGTTTTTCTTCGTTTATTTCCAAATTCTCACTACCAGTTGATGCAGATTTTCATCTTCAGGATTTTTCAATTTCTACCGTGTTGCCAAACCTTCCCAGGTGCTCCATGATTGGGTCAACGGTGAAGCTAGACTTTAAGGTTTTTATTGACAGAGGTATGTGTATAAAATTCCAGGTGTGTTTTTAAGTACTATGTTAGCTTTCAATTAATAAATTTATCACCATTTTAATCTTCACCATCATAATCTACATCATTGTTTTAATCATTGTTTGCATTGTCATCTTTGTCATCATATTTTTCATCATTATCATCATCACTGTTATCATAATCTTCATCACCTACTCCGTCATCATCTTCGTTGTCATTAACACCACCATTATCATCATCATCATTACCATCCTTATCATCATCATCAGTATTGTTGTCATCATCCCCACTATCATCATCATCATTCATCATCACCACCATCCTTGTCATCATTACCATCCTTGTCATCATCATCATCACAATCATCATCATCATCATCATCATCATTATCATCATCATCAGTATTGTCATCATGATCCCCACTATTCATTTCATTTATTTGTCTCAAACAATTGTACATAAACAGAAACAGCAAAGAACAATCACAAAAGTACAAAAAAAAAATAAACAAGAGACAGGACACTACAGAAGTAAAATCAATCACTGTTGAGTGGAGGCCCTTCACGAGAAAAACACAAATACTTAAAATATAAAATTCTTCAAAAAGATAAAAAATCAAAAGATAAATATCATCATCACCATTGATCATCATCACCATCATCACAATTATCATCATAGGCATCATCATTATTATCATTCCATCATTATCATCTTTATCATATTAACCATTATTTATCAGTCATCATTATTAAATACTTATCTTTTTTTTTATGGTGTTTTTTCTTTGTTTTTTTATTCAGCCTTTCTTCTGAAGAGGCAGCAAAGAAATATAAGGTTAGCAAATATTTTAATAGATCCTCTAAAAATGTGGTGTTATAAATTTGCAATTTAGCCACCTAATAATTTACCAATATGCTATTTACATCCTACTGTATACTTCCTTTACTTACCAGTGGTGTATTGCAAGTGGACAAGCTGTTCTGTGTATTAGATGAAGCAATGGCACCAAATACCAGCCTACCTTCCAGTAAACATGTATGGGGTGCCCCATGTGCAATAAATTCATACACTTTGGAGGTACAAACTTTTTCTTTGTCTTTATTGATTTTCAATAAGATAAACTGTAAATTTAACTGCCAAGTTATTCAAAAAGAAATCTTATTTACATGTTCTGACATGCATCACTTGTCACTATCATTGTGTAATGAGTATTAAAAGAATGGTGATAATGTTATTATGGGTGCAAATTTTATGAGGATGACAGGTAATTATAAAAATAATCCTTCCCATTTTGTATTTCCCTTTCCAGTTTCAACACACTCCAGATACTATAACCCTGAACGGGTCATTACAAAACCTTCAAATCGAATCATCCTTGGACCTGCTTAAGCTATTAGCACACCTGGCCCTCCTGGTTTATTCGGACAAGGGCCCGGAGGTGGTCAAGCCCACACCACCCATGGCTAAGGTTGAGATCAGTATTAAGCCTAGACGTGAGATCAAGATGAACATGAAGTTCGACCATTTTAATTTCTTTATATGTAGCGACCTTGATGGTATGTATTCTATTAGTAGTGTAATTTTAGTACAATTTGTAGAATTTGATAAAGTAGAGATGGATATAGTCACTTTATTTATTCACAAAATATGCTTGTTAAATATTTGATGTTCTTTCACAAGATTGTGATGTGGTTTTCAACCTGCACCAATTGTAAGGCTCTGGGTTACAGTCAGTGGGCTCCACAAATTTTCCGACAAGCGGTCCAACATGTCCGATGGGGAGGTCCAAACCAAGGGGCCTACTACAGCTTTGGTCCGAGTTCTGCAATAAAAAAAATCCCTGGGTAGGGTTCATGGGGAAATTAAATTTATGGTCTTTTTATGGTATGGTCAAAATTGTGTTTAGAAAAATAATAATAATATTAAATATTGTTTCTCTGATTGTAGAATGCTTGATGTTGCGAGTGGACTCAATTTCAGTTAAAGTAGACAAATCTTCAACATTTACAATGGAAGCTTTCAAATTTTTACAAGTTAGGAAGGTACACAAGGTAAGCAACATAAACACAGATTGGAAGTCCAAGTTAAAAAATCACCCCATAAACACTAAATATTACCTTCCACACAACACAGTTTAAGAAAAGTAGTATCAATTTTTTAGTATACTGTGCTTGTGCAGGTATTATACTCCATGCTGTGGTAATGACATTCCTGTGTAAAATGGAATGTATTAAGGTTTATTTCAGTTCATGCTGTGGTATAGTGCTTTAACAGATGACCAATGGCTGATACCTGTGTTTAGAGTAATTTTGACCTAGTTTCTGCATTATATGCAAGCTCCTATGAGGAGCCTATTTTTAGATAGTGTAGTACGAAACACCTAACTTTGTTAGGTCCTGCTTTAACTTAAGTCTCAAATTTGTAACCCCATTTTAACAGCACACACTATCTATCTGTTAAGTTTTAATTCCGTGTCTGGCTGATTGCCATCATAATTTTGATAGCTACATACATACCTAATTTCTACACATCTGCATATATACCTGCTCTGTTACTAAACTAAACAGAATTTTGTTTTTGTATTTTTACAGGCTATTGATTGTGTATCTTACAATGACCTTCCAGATGGCTGGGTAAACATTGCTCAATTGGTAGCAAATCACACCTCTTTTAAAAAGGTAACACAATATCTTTATTTGTGTATATCTATTTTGAAGTTGTACTGCCACCAAAATTTAATATATATTTGATGATAATTAAACTTTAAATGAGAACATTCTTTTACTTGAATTAACTGACGTTTAAAGATATAAATACTATACTCTTGCTTTAGCTTATGATATAATAGTGACCTATAATTCCTCTTTTGGAATTCTCAAACCGGATTTACTCTCACAACGTACAGGGAGAGATGCATGAGCAGTAGACACACAAACCCTTGTGTTTTCTGCCATTTATTTACTTTTTTTTTACTTTCTCATGTAGACTGTGAAAATTGAAATAAATTCCAAATGCTTTGCATCCTGGGATACCACAAGTCACATGACTATATTTCACCATGTGAAGAAGTTAGTAGAATTTGGATCGAAGTTAAAAGGTTTGTGGCATGTTTGGACCTGTTCTCATTTATTTTCTAATACACTTTATAGCATATGGGAATCCTCTTCCACTTCAAATTAAAATAGTGTTATTTCTATTTCCAGACTTGCTGCCAAAAAAGACAAGCCCTGAGACCCTTCCTTCCCCCTCCAGTGACCCAAACCTGATGGCAGCAACTTTGATTGAACTTTCAGCAAGAAATGTGCAATTCTTCTACAATGTGTCTTTCAAGATGAGGTATGCAATTCATTTTTTAATTTGATTTTCCTTTAATTAATTTTAAGTATGAAGAAGCAGCAAAATGGAAGGATGCCATCTTTGAAAGACCTTTGCCTGGCAATGAGAGGATGTCATCAATATGACAACAAATATGATGAAGATGTTGATGAAATTGGTGATGATATTTGGGCGTTATTGTGATGACGATGATAATTAGTGATGATGACGATTGTGATGGTTATTGTGATGATTATTTAAATTATTATGAAGGTGATGACTGTTATTTAATGGTTATAGGTGGTGGTGATGATAAATGCTACTGGTAATAATGATGATGGTGGTGGCTAGTGGTGATTATGATAAACAACAGAGAGGGTTGTATGATGTTGACTCTCCCTAATAAATTACCCTTATTTCTTTATTATATTGCAGGAATAGTATAAGCATTGCATCACTGAGAGTGGAGACACAGGCAGGCTCCTTAAAGGTCACAGTCCCAGAGATAAGCTTTGGATTTGAAGATCATGGTCTTTTCCTTGTCAAGGTGTGCTATTTATTTTTCATTATTATATATTAGGGAATTTGTTGAGCAATGTTAAGCAGTATGTTTAGCAATGTTAGGCAGTATGTTGAGAAGTGTTAGGCAGTATGTTTAGCAGTGTTAGGCAGTATGTTTAGCAGTGTTAGGCAGTATGTTTAGCAGTGTTTGGCAGTATGTTTAGCAGTGTTAGGCAGTATGTTTAGCAGTGTTAGGCAGTATGTTTAGCAATGTTAGGCAGTATGTTTAGCAAAGTTAAGCAGTATGTTTAGCAGTGTTAGGCAGTATGTTTAGCAGTGCTAAACTGTTTAGCAGTGCAAATAATGGTGATTTTGTTTCTCCTCCATCTAGATGTTTTTTGGCAAAACTATTTGCTAAAAAGATTTATTTTTATTTTTATCCATCATCTTCTGATGATCTTTAAAAAAATAAGTTCATGAAACAATGAATAAAAGAAGTATTGCTTTAGGCAGTATTTTTAGCAATGTTAGACAGAATTTTTAGCAATGTTAAGCAGTATATTTAACAATGTTTAAGTTATATATTTAGCAATGTTGACAGTATGTTTAGCAATGTTAGGCAGTATGTTTAGCAATGTTAGGCAGTATGTTTAGCAATGTTAGGCA